CTAAAAATATATCAAAATATTAGGAATTAAACCAAAAAGATTACTATCAAAAGAATTAAAAAATGAGTTAAAAAGTCAAGGAGTTGAATATGAAAATCAAAATAAACAACAAAAATTTAATAGGAATGTTGGAAGAAGATATCATCAATTTTTATTAAATTTATTGAGTGTGCAGCACATCTTATATCCCAAATGAGGATACATTTCTTCAGTTTTTTCACACACAACACAACATGCTGGAACAGCATCAGTAACTATAGCAGCAAATTTATCTGAATCAATTTGTTCTACAATGTCTGAAATTTCATCTGCAAGTGTGAGAAAAACCTGAATAATTTTTTGATGCTATTAAGTTATTATGTAAAGAAATCATGGAGAGAAAATAAGAATGGCTATTTGGATTAGGATTTTGTTGTGAATTTTGATTAGGCAATTGTTGATTCAGTGGTTCATATGTATCTATAAGATTTTTAAATTCATTTTTTAATTCTTCAATTTCTTGTGGTGTAAAAACAAATAATTTATTTCTTGGATCAATTACAGAACTGATTTGTATGTTACTCCAATATTCTTCTAATTTATGATTAACTGAATCTGCAATTAAATAATGTTCATTGTCACCTTCAATTGTCTTTTTCAATTCTTTAATTAATGCAGTAGAAGTAATGCATACATCACTTAAAGTGGGTGAACTTGATGATAAAAATTTTGTTGCAATGTATAATGGTTTTAAAATAACATTTGTGGCAGCACAGTATTCCATCTCAACCTCCTCCTTCTGTGTCACCCCTGGTATGAATAATGTTATTAATGTTTGGGCTCTTTATAAGTATAAGAAGTAAGATAATGTTAGACAAAAAAAAAATCATTGAATAACTTGATGATGATGACGTTGTTGTTGTTGATGTTGATGTTGATGGTGTTGTTGTTGCTGTATATTTTCTTTTTTTATTATTATTGTTGTTGTTATTATTATTATTAACATCATCATCATTATTATTATTATTATGTTGAAGAAGATGAAGAAGAAGATTGTGATTGTATAATATTATTTGGTGGTGGTTGTGGTGGTGATTGTGATTGTGGTTGTGATTGTGGTTGTGATTGTGATTGTGATTGCTGTTGAAATAATGATGTTATTGAACGTGATTGAAATAGTGATGGTGATTGTAGTGGTGGTAGTGATGGTAGTGGTTGTGATGGTAGTAGTAGTGATGGTGATGCCTGTGTTCTTGACTTTGCAACACTGAACCTCATCAATTGACTTTTTAGGCCAATGAATGGGGACACCCCAACTCTTCTGAGGAACCTTGTTGCATGCCCAGGACTTTGGAAATGGAAGTGCCCCATCTAATTTCATAAGGATTTATCAATTAGTAATGATTCTTTAAATTAATTAATTTATAATGCAAAATAAATTTGTGATGCAAAGCATATTTGTTATTATTACACTTACTCCTTCTTACATGGGTAATGCCATGATTTGAAAATTGTTCTCCCAGTCATGTAAGTTTTTGTTGTTAACTATCGACATATTACTACCTCTAGATCTACAAAAATAGAGGCAGTAGATTTCATTTCCTGGTTCACAACAAACTTTACTATTTATTATTAATGGCTTTTTTAATGTAGAAATGTAAAAAATAATCAGAATTTAACTTACTATTACAATGGTGGTGATGATAATTATATTTATGCAAATGAAAAAGTGATGGTGGTGGTATGATCAAGAGAGCAATGTATTCCTTGAAAAGGGAAACAAAAAGCCTTCATCAGAAGGGGAGTGAAAAAATGGCCTTCCAAGGAAGAGAAAGAAAAACCTTTCAAGGAATAGGAAACAATGCTTTTTTGAAAAAAAAATTCATAACCCATTATTATTATTATTTGTTGTTGAGATTATTATTATTGTTGTACCATTATTATTAAATGGTGCATGTGTTTCATTTGGTTTTTGCATTATCTGAACAGGACCCCGGAAACTACATAGATAGGTTACATTATTTTTGGGTAAATCAATATGTAAAAAAATCGAAAGGTCAGAG